TAGAAAGTGCTGAACTGAGTTAAGGTTAGCCTTTGTTAGAATTTTGTTTTGTTGCCAGCTTAGTATGTTTCACAAACCCAGAGCACGTGGTTGCTTTATGGTTCAGTGTATTGGGTGAACCCAGAAAAATGGGTTAATTCAGTAACCCCATCAAAGATGCTTTGCAAATGCCCCAAACCCAGTGTTATTGCATACGTGGAAGCTTAATACCCTGACTCTGTAATTAATTCCATTATAGCAAATTGAATTCAGAGCATCATACAGAAGGTGAAATTGCAGGCAAAATTGTGTTTATTAGGAAAAGACTCATGTGTCAGTCCCTGCATTAAACACACACACACAGACACACAACTGATAAAGTACTAAATGAATGCAAGTGAGACTGACAATGGTTCATTTGTAATTGGGGGTGAAACATAGAGGCTCTGCCTGAGACTTTGGAAGGCCATAGCAAAGGAGAGTGATTGGTAGAGGGCTAGAAAATGCCTGTTGTGTACCACCAGTGGTCACTGTTTCACAAAAGGGGCTTCAATGTTTGATGGAAGGACTTCCAAGTTTCACTGGAGCCCTGCAACGTAGCTATTTCTTGCCAGTCCTTGCACGATTGCGATTCTTCTCCCCAGAAACCCTTGCAGCACTCTGAGCAACACTGCAGATTACTATAAATAATTAGTGGTCAATTGTATTTGGCCATAAAGAGTCAAATATATTTGTGACCATTTCCTGTGTTTCGTTCTCTTCTTCTTCCTCCTCTTTCCTCTTCATTTATTGTTGTTGGTTTCTCATATCTGCTCACTGGTTCCATTGTCTGCTTCTCTAGTGTATTCAGTCATTCACAACAGTGCTCTCTCTGGCTTTATTGCAAATTAATGAGATTCTTACTGCATTACATAATTAATTACTGTGTTATTCAGAGTCGCATAATGAACTCTACCCCTGAAGAATGTAGATCCACTTGGCAGCCCTTATGAATTCATCACAGGAGACAATCTCACCATCAAGCAGCCTTTAGAGAATTCTCTGAATGCAGAGCCCCTCATTTTAGGACAAGAGTCTGCTTGGTGTAGTGGTTAAAGTCACTGGACTAGAAACCAGGAGACAGTGAGTTCTAGTCCTGCCTGAGGCACAAAGCCAGCTGGGTGACCTTGGGCCAGTCACATTCTCTCAGCCCTAGGAAGAAGAAAATAAGGGCAGACCACTTCCGGAAATGCGGCCAAGAAAACTGCAGACTTATGCATATAATCATTGGGAGTCAAGATGACTCAAAGGTGTGCGTGCGCACATGCACACAATTCTAAGGATGCCCAAATTTGTAAATGAATATTTGGGATGGGTGGCTCTGTAATGGGATGTGGGAATGATCTTGGGAGACAGGTGGAACAGCCACAGCCAGAGCAACAGTCAGATAAGAGGCAGCTGAGCCCGCAGCAGGAATGGGGGCCTGGCAAACATCTGAGAAGAGACCCTCCCTAGTTTTTGGATGTAAAAGTGACAGGGGAACAATGTACTTTCAGACTTGGAAGACTCTGTTAATGTAGCCTTACAATAAAATTAGAGCTAGTACTCCTGGATGTGCTACTTGTCTGGACTACCTCGCAAAGCTGACAGGCTCTCACTGTCCATGTAACCAATATTCCAGAATCCATTATGGCTTGGTGCGGAGGTATATCATATTGCAGGTGGCTTCTGAAAGTCTTGGGTGTGCTCCTTAGAGACCTCCAAAAGTTCATACCCAATAGTAACATTTAATGTGACAGAAGGGGAAAATAATTAAATGCATGACTGCAAAGTAATCATGTTAAGTATATTTAGTTTTAATTAAATTTACATTTAAATGAAGTCAGATCTAATTTAGTTTCAGCTCTGTCTTCACCTGCTACTTTTGGAGAGCCGTCCCTGGCTAAGGAACAGATGACTGTCCCTGATATTCATTCCTCCAATGAAATCTGAATTAAGAATTGCTTTGCTGTTATTTTGAATAAGATGTCTAACTCTGCCTCTGCATCCATAGGCCCTCTCCTCTAAACCCACCTAACGTAATATTTGCGTTCTACAAGCTCTGTATGTCTAAAATGAAAAGTACAGGTTGATTGATTGATTATGTGCCATCAAGTCATTTTTGACTCTTAGTGACAACATAGATGGATTTTCTCCAAGACGATCTGTCCCTAACCTGTTCTTTCAGATCTCCCAATGGTGCACCCATCACCATTGTAACTAAGTCCATCCACCTTGCTGCCTGTCATCCTCTTCTCTTTCCTTCCACTTTCCCCAGCATTAGAGCCTTTTCCAGAGAGCTGGATCTTGGCATCATGTGTCTGAAGTAGGATAATTTGAGCCTGGTCATTTATGCCTTGAGTGAGAACTCTGGGTTGATTTGTCTGATGATCCGTTGGTTTGTTTTCTTGGCTGTCCACGGTCTTCTCAGGAGTCCTCTCCAACACACAAGTTCAAAAATGTCAATACTCCTTCTATCCTGCTTCTTCAAAGTCCAACTTTTACTTTCATAGAAAGTCTCATGCTTTGCACGATTCTGATCTTTGTAGGTATAGAAACATCACAGCATTTGAATATCTTTTCCAAGGCCTTCCTGGCTGTTCTACCAAATGCAACCTCTCTGAGGTGTATCTCCTGACTGTTGTTCCTTTACTGTTGATGGTTGATCCTAAAAGTACAGGTACAGACCCTTTATGTGCAAAATCATTGAGCTTTTCTTAAAAACACATCATTTTTAGGTTTACTGAGGGGACTATACATTTCATCTTGTTGTAAGGCAGATGGTCTCCATGTCCTAGCCTGACCTAGCTATCCACACACTAGCTAGATTGACAACGGAGCCAAAGACCCAGAGAAGGGGTGCTCCTTCCTACATATGGATTCTATTTATTGTCTTGTTTGTACCCACATTCTTCACATACCCTCCCATAGCAGTTTACAACACAAGACCAAATGTTGGCATGTATGTGTACAAAATTAAGAAACTCAGCAGTTTCACACTGAGAAAGTGTGAATGATGCAAAACATTAATCAAGCTTAGCACCCAACCAGTTCAAGAAACAGCCATGTAACTACACCCTATAGGACCAAAACTGCCTTCAAATGGAAATGATAAATTTCAATGGTCAATCAAGGAAGGAAGGGTAGTTTACATAAGTGGGGTTTCACGTGTCTTTTAAAAGCAGCCCAGGATGAAGACCACACCTCATCATTTTAAATAAAAAAATAAATTCCCCAAAATTGAGCCCCCATTCGACGAGGAAGCATAGCAGGACTTGAGGAAGCCCTGGGTTTGGTTACTAAGATCTATATTTGCCTAGATATTATTTTTATTGATTTGTGATTGACATTTTAGTGAATAAAAATAAAAATACTGAGCTATGGGGACAGAAAAAAAAAA